GCTACTTCCTAATGCTCTCCAGGCTCTCCTGAAGTTGAACCCACTGATTTTTTAAAATCCCATGTTTTAAGTCCTGGTAGTTGTACAAACTCACAAGATTCATCCCTTCTCACTTTCAAAGCCATATGTTATGGGGATTTACCTTCCCTGTGAAGGCTTTCCAATGTGATAGTCTACTTTTTGCCTTTCTCCACACCATGGGCTCTCTCCCCTCTGCTGACAGTCACAGTCTGGTCTGATTCACTCCCAAACTCCCATCTTCACCCTTCCTGTCTTCTTTAATGTGGCCTCTTCTCTACCTTTAGTTGTGGAGTTTGTTCTGCAAATCTTCAGGTTGATTTCTGGGCTATTCATGCTGATGTGAGTGTTATCTAGTTATATCTGTGGGACAAGGAGAGCTTAGGGTCCTCCTACTCTGCCACCCTCCCAACCTCCAACCAAGTGATTTTAAATTTTTATCCTGTGTTTTTTTCTGGCTTTTTTCCATTTGCATAGCTGTCTTCCAGAAATAAGAATTGGTCTGTCCTTATATGTATTATGTGTGTGTGTGCATGCACAAATGTCTGAAATGACTAAACACCTTATTTCTGTGCCATCAAAATTCTTGGCAAAGCACCTAGAGAATGCTTTTGTTTATTAATGTATAGAAATGTAGGCACCTTGAGCTTGAAAGACCTTTGAGGTTATCACATTAAATCCTAATAAACCACTTCACCAATTCACATAATAATCAATTCACTCAACAAATATTTTTGAGTACTTATGTATTAAGTACTTATATATTAAGAACTGTAGTTGGTGCCAGGAGGATAAAGATAAACAAATAAGACATGCTTTTCAAAGGAGAAGGCTCACATTCTAGTGGGTGACGACATACAGACCACACACAAATGTTTGTTCAAGGAGGTCAGGTGAACATTCCAGGAGTGCAGACTGAGAAGCTGCTCTCTGGGCTGACTCTTAGTCAGTTTGCTTTCCCTCAACCACTGCAATGCTTCTGCTCGAGCACTAGCAGTGCATGGTTGGAGAGCAAATATTTTCATATTGAGCCCAAACCCACCCTTCCATTATGGGTCCAGGTGTTGCCAACCTTCACTTAGTCCTTTAGATGTTTGACCTTCCAAAGTCTTTTCCTTTTACAATTAAACATTCTAAATTTGTAGATTTCTCCCTCTCCCTCTCCCTGTTTTTTTATTAGATTGCTGCTTTCTAGTATATCAATATGGCCCTAAAACTATACTTCCCAACCTTTATAAAATACTGCAGATATACTCAACTTTTGAAGTGCAATGGGACTATCATCTCCTTTAACAAGACAAAACATTTGTGCCTTCGAAGTCTAAGATCACATGAACATGTCTGCCACATCACATTCTCTTATTTAAATGATGAGTTAATATTCAGTCTTTTTTCCAAATAAGATGCCAAAGGGGTATTAAAAATCACAGCATTAAATAAGTTAAAAATAAAAAGAGAAAAATAATGCAATGATAGTACCTTATATGGGCTGAGATGTGAGGTTAGGACTATAAAATATGCCCTACAAGTGTCAGATTCAAGAAGTCTCATGTGCTTGCCAGAGCTGGAACATGGCATTGGTCTTAAGATAGTAGTAGCTCACTTTGGCTCATGTTAAAATTATAGTCAACTAAAATCCATATATATATATATATATATATATATATATATATATATATATATATTTTATATAAATGGCTTTGATGTCAAATACACCAATACTTTATTTCAATTATAGTTCATCTTACTAGTTTCTGTTTGATTATGTTTTCAAAAGCTTATGTGGTCCACCTGGTTTTCTGCCATCTGTAGATTTACCAATTATGCTTTTTTTTTTTTTTTTTGGATAGTCCTGCAATTGCTTCAAGCCCAAGGGTGAAACAAAGTTTCCTTTTTCTGCTTAACGTTTATTTTGAATTGATTTTGCTCAATACCAGTTATATACAATTTACTTTTTAAAGATTCATCAGATGATTTTCTCATCAAATCGTTCACTAATACCTTTTTTTATAATTCGCTAATATCCTATGGCATCATTTTAATATTACCTTCAAAATATAAAACATTAGATTCCATAGTATTGACATGCTATTAAATTATATGAAAATAGAGAGCAATAGCATCTGGTCTGTTAAGCGATTTTTAGCCATGTTGACTCAAATTATAGAGACTGATACCTGCAGACTCACTCTGCAAACATACTGAATCACTCTATCATGCTGTCATTTAAAAAATTTTGAGGGACACCTGGGTGGCTCAGCTGGTTAAGTGTCTGCCTTCAGCTCAGGTCATGATCTCAGGGTCCTGGGATCGAGTCCTGTGTCAGGTTCCCTCCTCTGTGGGGAGTCTGCTTCTCCCTCTGCCCCTCTCCCTGCTTGTGCTCTCACTCTCTCAAATAAATAAATAAAACTTAAAAAATAAAATAAAAAAATAGAAAATGTTGATATAATAAGTGAAAACAAGTTAGTCATGGAATACCTTCAGATAAATTTAATGGCCTTACACACTAAAAACCAACTAAGCAAGAACTGAACTAATTTCACTGATGATGTACAGCCCCAAAGGAGCTTCGACTCTTCTAGGAAGAAAAGCACAGCAACAAGTAGAAGGAGTAAGGTGCTGAAAATGCAACTGTGGTTTGGTGATATGTACAGAGTACAGTAGGAGGTAAAGAAAAGGAAGGTGCTCAGGAAGGATTTTGTAGAGATGTTTGCTTTGAGTCAGATGTTCTTTAACAGGTAAGATAATAAGAGTATTACAGAAAGAGGTTAAGGTGTAGGCACAGGCAAGGAAGAAGGAGTTAAAGAAGAGGTTTCACACTAGAGGAATTTTGGAGCAGATGATACAGACTTTAAGGAACTAATCTGGAGAGAGATAAAGCTGGGAAGTTTAGCAAGAACTGGGTCATGACGGTCATTGTGTACCATGCTGAGGGTTTAGGAGTTAAGCTTTTCAGAGGGTTGCCCATGTTTCTATAGTTTTATGGCAAGATCCTGAAAATTATGTTTCAGTATTCCTATTAAAAGTCAAAGTTGAAATATTCTAAATTGAAATCATCTCCATCAGATAAGGATTCACTAAATTATGTTCCTCAAATTCCCCAAACACAATCCAGCCTTGTTACTGTGTCTCTAGAAGCAGAGTAGTTGAATCTTTCTACTGATACTATGCTATCATTTCTAACTCTTCATTTCCATTGTTACATAACAGCCATCAACATAAGTAATTTAAAATCAAATTTGTTAAAAAAATGCATTGGTGAATTTCTAATAAAAATTAGAATAAGGATTATTGTAGGTTAGGGATTGAGAGTTCACTTTAACGATATTCAAAGTTTCTACTGACATTTTCAATATTTCAAAATACACCCTAATTTACAATGAGGATTTCTCACTTAAGAATGTTTACAGTTAGGGCGCCTGGGTGGCTCAGTTGGTTGAGCGACTGCCTTCGGCTCAGGTCATGATCCTGGAGTCCCTGGATCGAGTCCCGCATCGGGGTCCCTGCTTGGCGAGGAGCCTGCTTCTCCCTCTACCCCTCCCCCCTCTCATGTACTCTCTCTCTCATTCTCTCATTCTCGCTCTCTCAAATAAATAAATAAATCTTTAAAAAAAAAAGAATGTTTACAGTTAGGCAGAAGTGTGAGATTTTTTTAAAACAATAAATAGAACATGCAAATTACCTTTGGATATTTAAAAGGGAATCACAAGTTATAGGCACTCCATAATTTTTAATATACTATCTGTTAACAGACTTTTAAGGGAAAAAAAAATAAGATCCTGGCTTCAAAAACACTGCAACTGTAGTTTATACTCAAGTTTGTATATGCGTATCTATTAAACCTACACATTTAAATTCTACCTTTTCAAAGCTTTAAATTTCTATTATTTTAAATTTTTGTTATAATCCATTATCTGTGGAATCTTTATATAAAGTACTTGTACATATATAAAGTGCATATACATCTTATATATGTACTTCATATGATAGATACACACACACACACACACCCTCAGAGGAAAACAGCAAAAATAGCCTCCAGTAAAAATGAAATTTGAAATAGCTTTGGAAGTGTTTTGCAAAATCCTTTGATTATGGTAAATTATGCATCATCAAGTGCACACATAATTAAAATATTTAGAAAAAGATTTGGTTTGTTTAGGTTCAGCATGCATTGTTTATGCTGCAAGTTAATGAAGATTATGGTTTTAAAGAGCATGTGCATTTTATATTATAGAACAGGTGCTTCTATTTTTTTGTTTTTTAATAGAACAAGGTGGGGTTTGTTTTATTTTCCTTTGGAAAGTCATGTTTTATTCATATTATAACATTTCAAATAGTAAAATATTAATCTAAAAAATTTAATTTTCCCAAAATAGTCTTTACATAGTTAATATGGATTTCTAAAATAGATCAGAGTCTTAAAGACAACGGATCCACTAAAAGTTTTTACAGAGACAAAGAGTAAAATTTCACATGCATCTGGAACCACAGTTATATTCTAATCCCAAAGTGCTTATTTTTCAAATAAAGTTATCCCTAAATCTTCTTAGGAGGACAAGCCTCTTTTGAAATGGAAGGGGAAAGAAAACAGGTAAATAAGATAAACATAAGTGTCATTTTTACTGAAGTAGATTTCACACAAAAGCAACAGAAGGCAACTGTTGACGATATCTCTTAAACAGCTGAATGGCATCTGCAAAGCCTGAAGATTTGAAAATATATATTTATACCAAATGTATTTATAAAAATCTGTTTTGAGGTTTGTGAAAAGTAAGTTCACTCTCCCTTTTCCCCCAAAGTATGCATGGTGTATATGCTAACTTACTGAATTCATCCTTCATGCAATTCCAGTTTATTAAAGAGGTTAAAAATTTATAAAACTCTGATGGGATATGGTTTTAATGCTTCATCACACTACCCATCATTTGCTTTTCAATCTAGATCAGAATGATCTTTCCTACTTCCCTGCAATCACCTACCTGCACAGCTAATATTTTCTGAATACTCTCCTGAGAGTCTGTCTGGAACTTGGCCAGCCTCATCTGGCTGTAGAGGACCACCAGTTTGAAGTGCTTCTGCCACACCTTGTGTATCCTTCTTTGCAGCTGACAGAGCTAAAGGGAAGAGGGAGGGGGGAAAAACACAAGTCAGAGTAGGAGAGGAAATTAATGGCAGTGTTCAAGAAGAATGATGGAGGGAAATATAGAAAGCAGTCAATAGCCCATTCTGCACTGTACGGACCTGACAGGAATTTCACAGTCTCTTGATTTTCCAGCCCACTCATGTGCATTCATCAGAAACCAGTCACATCTGGCCGCCAGGATGGGGGGTTAATTTTCTCTAAATGCCTCAGCAGTTTTGTTCTAGCTGAGGCAAACTCTGTGACTGCAAAGCTGATGAGTAAAATATTTCTACTTCACCCAGTTTAACTCAAAACCGATAGCCTCGGGACATATTGAACCTTTCTTTAAAAAAAATAATCTTTTGAAGCTTTTTTGAATGGCACATCAGGTTAAGCCAAAGTTTAAAAATGCAACTTGGAGACTGTGATGGACACCATTGCTTCTTTTTTTTTTTTTTCCTCATAAAGCTTACCATTGCTTGGCAATGTGTGCTTTAGAGCATGACAAAACTAAAGAGAATTAACTTAGCCATCAGCTGCTGAGGGAGAACAATAACAGGGAAGAGATTTCCAGCAAGAACTCTCTATTAATCTACCTCCCTCTGACTATGTGACATGGAGACATCTCACTGCACTAACATACAGTGGACGCAGTGCTTAGAGGTGAAACGTTCAATACTGCATCTACACAGAAAAAGACTTCTCCTATGAGGCATTCTATACTTTTTGGATGTTTAGTATAAAATCAAACAACAACAACAAATACGGTAGAAGTTTTACCAAAACAATGAACATATGTCACTCAACAGTTAACACAGCCACACCATATAGAATTTTTATAATTAGGTTATTTTCGAAGAAATAAACTTCATAAAAATTAATTTAAAAAACCGTACTAAAATATATTCTGTCACTGAAACCTTTTTTTTTTTTTTTTTTTTTTGGTGATGTGGATAGTTGTTTATGTTGACTTCTTCTTAGAATGAAAAATAAACACCAAAAATTTCATATCAGACATCTTCACAACAGAATAAAAACATGTCACAAAGTAGGGCTATTTTATGTCTTATTTATTGAGCTGAGCACATGTAAAGGATCCTATGCAAAACTTCACCAGACTGCATGGATGACTTGTGAACTTTTCTGGAAGTGTATTTCAATAAAACAGTTTACTTAAAAACAACAATTTTTTAAAATATTTTATTTATTTATTTGAGAGAGAGAGAATGAGAGACAGAGAGCATGAGAGGGAGGAGGGTCAGAGGGAGAAGCAGACTCCCCGCCGAACAGGGAGCCCAATGCGGGACTCGATCCCGGGACTCCAGGATCATGATCTGAGCTGAAGGCAGTCGCTTAACCAACTGAGCCACCCAGGCGCCCAAAACAACAATTTTAAAAATAGTCACCTGGTGTGAATTGTGAATTGTTTATAATCATTATCTTCATTATGCATCATAATAAGCAACACATAGGTATTTATGTAAGTCCACAGAATAATGAAACCACTATTCTTGGTTAATTGGTTAACTTGTGAAATAAGAATAACCTTGAAAACTATAGAATTTTCAGCTTGCTAAATGCTGAAATATATTACCTGGAATTTAAGGACATTTTCGATAATTTAGGCTATTGAGTTGAAAATTAACATCACTTTTTGAAGAGAAAGTCTGTCATTATTAAGTGGTTTTCTGTAATATTTAGTAGTTTTAATATAATATTAAATTTTTTTTTCGGCCAAATCTGACAGCTACTGGGGGAGCATATGCTGTTATCTTAAAATACTCACTAAGATGTTAAGATGCTTTAGTCTAAGCATTACACCATTATTAAGGTATCTGCAAATATGACAAGGGCAAATAAGAGAAATATGAGTTTTAGAGGAATTCCTTAAACTGAAGGTAACTTTTTTACAAGTGGGAGCTCTCAACATGTGAAAGGTTTTTACAAGTGGGGGAGCTCATTAACCAAAGTGAACTGAATGGTAATGCTACCCATCTTTCTCTCTACTTAAGTAGAGAAGTTCCTTATGTATCAACTAAAAAAGAGTAATATCTCAAAGTGGTTTTTTTTAATTTTAGATTTATAGCTAATAAGCTTCTGAAAAAAGAATGGGGACAGAAAAAAACTGAAGGAATTCTTAGAATCAACATCCAGTAAAAGTCACATATATACACATACATATCCACATTAAAGACAATGAGATGATCAACAATAATATATATGGAAAAATATTTAAGGTGCTAGAAATGACAGTTGATTTGAATATGATGACAACTATTTTAAGAAAATTGTTATGGTAAAAGCCCAATTGTAAGATGTTAGTAGACAGTAATCACTCAATAAATACTGAAATTAAATCAATAAAGTGAACTGGTAAAATTTTAGTGGTGAAGCAAAGGAGCGAGTAAGACTTTCAAGAACTTAATAATTAATGAGAGAAGAGAAAGATAAGCCAAGTGAATGTAAGAGACACAAAAATATATAAAGGGAAAACTAAAGAGAGAGAATTCAGTTGTGAGTGGAAAAGTCCTTTAGGTAGACACAGAATTTAGTTTGGAAAGCCAAAGGAACTGGAATGATTTTTGATCTCTCCAACTTCAATTAAACTCGTGTTTCTGAAATGAAACTCTTCAGTGATTACATTCTTGAAATGTAATCATTTATTTCTGAAATGATTATATTCCTGCCCTCTCCTTCAGATTTTAGGGAAGATAAGGTGAGAGGAGGGAGGAAGTGTTAGAGAAACAAAAAAGAACAGTAAGGGACACAAACACACTGGATGGGGTTACAGCAAGGGCACTGTAAGGACTTGCCAAGTACTTAGAAGTAAGAATGGAATTTAGAGCCACTGATGGAGTAACTAGGCTGCTGCTTAGTCTCTAGCACATATTACAAGAATTTTGGAAAAGAATGGATAAGATTCTCATAGAAAACTCAGAAGGCGCATACTGGCACAGGAAAAGAGTCATTTTGAGAAAAGATCCTCAACTTCAGTGCCCTCGGTTTTGTACACAAAAGAGAAAAGAGGATATTCAACTGCATCAGGAGCGCTGAAACAGGAAACGGCTGGTGTGTACTCTCAGACATTTAAAATGGCAAAAAGGAATGGTAGAGTTTTCTGACAATGGTTTCTGGCCAGTTTGAATTTGTGGTAGATTTGGTAAGTTGGGCTCTAGTTCTTGCTTTGTGAGTTCTTTGCTGAAGGAAGCCCAAAGATAGAATTTGTTGTTATTTCTTTTGAGATAATGATCACTATGTAGCTATTCACAAAGAAAAAAAAAATCAATGTCTATTTTGACATGGTATTTAAGATACAGAGAGTTGATGTCAATGTTAGCATTGCATCCAATGTCCATTTGTATATAATATACATTTGGTAAAAATCCCTTCTGATTAAATTTGATTAGGTTCTTTTTATTATATTTATTAACATTTTAAAGCTTGATATTCTCTGACAGTAAAACAGAGTAAATTAATGTTGTCACTTGCAAGAATGAAAGATTCTCCATTCTCCTATTTTAATATACTTTTGTATATTATATGGATTCTGTTTTTAATCCAAGTTATTTTGATGACCTATATAAATTCATGGTAACTCCCATATATCACATAAACCTGGCTTTAATACTAAATGTAATAATGTATATATTACAACACACAAAACCTCTAATTAAATAGGTTTAAATTTATATTATTTTACTGCTGTTATGCATGTTAAAATTATAATATGCTAAGACTAATATAAACTATTTGATATCCCAATCACAAGTTTCAAAAACATTAGGCACAGCCATAACCAAATTAGCACTGAAATATTGTCTTACACCATTCTCATGTTCTCAGCATTGAAAGTAGAACTTTCAAAGCATCACTTTTTCAGGTATTTTCTGTGGCCAGCTTGGAGTATACAGTTGTGTGGTTTGCATTATGGAGGACACAAAAATAAAGCCTTGTTATCCTAGCCCAAAGGAGACAATTGGGGCACATTGTGAAGAATGGAGTAATATAGAGTTGAAGTATATTTGTTATTTACTGTCAGGGAAAAACAGTGTTCATAGATGTGATTTTAAAAATAGACCCTCAAATTATTTGATAATCCTCCTGAAGCAGGAGGGTTTAAAAGTAGACCCTCAAATTATTTGAAAATCCTCCCTTTGAGTGTAGGCTGGACTTAGTGACTGTCTTATAAAGAACAGAATAGGGCAGAAGATAGTATGCACTTCCAAACACACACACACACACACACACACACACACACACCCTGAGGCTTCTGTCTTGGGTTTTCTCTCTCTCACATTCTCTCAGATGTTTTGATCTAGGAATAGCCAGCTCCCATGTTGTGTAAGCAGCTCTGTGAAAGACCCACATGGTGAGGAATTGAAACTTCTTTTTGCCAAAAGCCCCCTGTGAGTGATCTTGAAAGCAGATTCTCCAATCTCTTCAGATGACTGCCACCCTGACCAACAACTTGACTGCAACCTTATAGGAGACCATGAGCCAAAATCACCCATCTATGCAGCTCCTGGTTCTTGTCTTTCAGAAACTTTGTGAGAAAATAAGTGTTTATTAGCTTAAGCTGCTAAATTTAGGGACAATTTGTTGCAGCAATAGTTAATGATAGATTTTAAACTCTTTTTCTTTTTCTTTCTTCTCTCTTTGCCTAGCCAGAAAATAATTTACTATCCATATTTTCTGAATGTAAAGCAAAAGTGATCTCCTAATTCACTGTTTGGTTTAATACTGAAGCTGAAAATGATTTATTAGTAATAAGAGAGTGATTAATAAATACTTATTGATTGATAGAATGTAGTTTGTACCATCTAGGAGCTCATTAATTGAAGACAGTGTAAAGGAACTATCATTTAATAGTTCCAGAAATTTAAAAATGGTTCATTATCAGCAAATATTTTCATGAAATACATCAATATATCAAAGAAAAAATAATCATCCCCAAGAGAAGTCGATATGAATAAACACAGAACAAAAACAATC